CTTTATTTTCAAAGGCCGCTGTTGCTTCTTTTTTGGACGTATCGACTTGAAATCTTATTGGATCATCGAGAATGGTTTTCATTTTTGAGATGTAGTCTCGGCGGTTCATTATTACGACACCTGAGCCTTTGTCTGGTTTGAGAATGACGATGTTTTCATTATAGCGGTTTCATTATATAGCGGTTTGATCAATTGAAAACAAACTTTTGCTTCCGTGTCTTGCCTTCTGCTTTTACATTATAATCTATATTGTCCAGAATTCAACCTTTTACTTAGTATTAGCTAGGATTTCAAATTATACTTTTTCCTCTAATACATCCAAGTTACTGAGTATGGGTCGGACAGTGTTTAAGAAACGTCTGCCTAGTAGTACAGGACTGTTCAGTGATCTATCTATAGTCACTAAATTTGGCTCATTTTCTATATTTTGACACCCAGATTAATTTCAACTGCCTTCTATTTATTCATATATTTGATTTTATTGTCTTTATACAGTGTGTCTGACAAGTTGAATTCCCCTGTAGACTGCAGGAGGTTATAGTAAGCGGGATGGAGTGAGTGTTTGGATAAAATAAGATGAGAAACTATTGTCTAACGGTTGGCCCATCATTATGCTCTGATATACGCAAACAGTACAATACAAACGATCAGCCTGACGTATGACTTCATAGTGGGAACTCCATTTAGCTTCAGTCTGAAAATTATTCTGTTCGTGACAGAATGGTGGGTGATCTGTGCCAACGAAATTCAGATTCGGCAGATAGAAAGAATTCTTTCTTCAGTTAACTGACTCAGGAACTTCTAGATGTAGATAAGCATAAGCAGTTAGTTGAGTTCAACTTCAGCTCTAGGATGATTAGTGATGTATTAGTGACTTCATAAAAGGACTGAACATGCTTTTCCGCGAAATTTCGATTCTACTTCATTATTCATAGCAATTAGTTAAATACTATTTGAAAATAAGAATACAGCTCCAATATACAGTGGTTTTTAAAAATAAAGAAGGATTATGAGTTTTTTAACAATTGGAATTTCTCTTCCGAAATCTGTTTTACACTCTGTGGGTTAGTTAAACTAGAACAGCTGTTGCCATTAGCTAAACTGGAGAATCTTCAAAATTACCCTGAAGCAATCAGTTATCTCACTTATCATGAATACCATGCATGTAATGTGATCGTTATTCACTCCTAATCTGGTTTTGTCCAGATATTGGATTCAGGATTTCATCAAGAACCGACATCGGTTAGAAAACCGGTGGAAAAATAGCTAGGAGTAATGGACAGTCATCTGTTTTATCAGACTAGTTTGGAACTCTTCAAGAGTACGCATCCACCGGTACGATTCAAACACAGGACTTTACAGTCGCAGGGCGTGGTTGTAGACCAATAAACCACTGAGACCCGATCCAGTGGCCCACGAATTTCAACTTTCCCAGATTCACAATATGTCGCTACCACTAGCCAATGTCATCGCTGGTGATTATTCGTCTTCACACCCGACCTGCTGTACCTCATTAATTTCATTTGGCCTCTTATTTGATTTTAGTTAACAATTAAAACAGAATTCGCTTGAATGACTGGTATTATTATAATAAATGTATTTAAACAAAAAAAACTAAGCGTGATATGAACTTTAATCCTATTAACCAAATGATGACGTCGGTAACTCAAGTTAACATGTGACATGTGTTCTACTGACAAGATTTATGAGTAGTATACAGATACAGATATAAATATGTATATCGTCTTCAAGGTTATCGAATAGCGGAGACAGAGATGGATTTAATGGCAAGGAGATGAAATGAACGTAGAAAATAAAGAAGACAAAAGTAACACAATATCAAAGATATGTGAAAACTAAAATTCTAACATCAGGTTGCCAATATATAATTCCATCGCCATATTTACTCGTGCGTTCTGTTGTTACAAACTAAACTTTACTCTGATAACTGTTTGTAAATATTAATTAATAGAAATGACCTGTTGCTAGAATTCGCAATACTTTCATATTGTTATCATCTAAATATGAATTGGTGACCAGATGGCAACTGATCTGGATATTCCCCGTACTGGAGTATTGAACGATATAAGCTCTTATCTTCCAATTTTATTTTCTTGTTTATTTTATTCCTTTACGCCCCAAGTGGATCATAGGGCCTCAATCTAGAGCTTTGAGATTTCGGTAGTAGTGGGCTGTGTTATTTCTACGGGGTAGGATTACCAGCCTCACACCCAGCCTTCCCTCTTTACCCCGTTTACTTCCGGCTTAACGAGATAAAGGACTGCGTTAGTTGGGGATCGAACCACAGACCACGTGTGGCGTGGGTGGCGAGCACTCTACCTTTGGATGACCGATGCTTTATCTTACAAGAGTATGGATTTCAAGGTCAAAGAAAGTCTTCCCCCCTGAATAACAAAATAATCTAGTGGAATACTGAACTAACTTTTAAGGATGTAAATTATTCACTATTTTACAGACCATTTTATATATGTATTGACCATATTATTTGGTCAAACTCCCATGTTGTTGGAGATGAGAGACTTCGTAGAGGAATGTTTATTTGCAGCTTGGTATCTCAATATTGCTAAATTATGTACATCTTATCTTCAACGCACCATGTGGACGGTTCTTCAGTGTTGTCCTACTTCTGTCGTTCTCACAAATTGTGTTTCTTTGTCTTCCTTTCACGTCTTCCATATATCTCTACAACGGTGGATCATTTGTTTGCTGTTATGTCAAATCTATCTCCCTGCTATTTGATATTTTTATGTCAGTGAATGTCTCTTTATATACTACTGATAAATCCTTTCAGTAGCACAGGCCACACTTATACTTAGAGCAGTGAATGTAATTTCCGTTTATAAACAGTTAAATGTAACACTCGAACAAGTTATACTGAATGCAACGAAAACATTGTTTAACTTGTCACATACCGTAGCAGACCATCTAGTCCCCCAGTTGTCTGCGAAGTCAGCCTGCCATACAGAGCGCTATATAGGTAGGGGAGTCATCTGAAGCATTCACTCATTAACACTATTTCTCATACTTATCAATGTGAATATCCCCGCCTAATCATTGTACCCTATCGGTTATGATAATAAGATAACATTCATATCTAATGCCTAAAAATGATTTACATATCAAAAAGAACCAACCTGACAACGAATGAGCAGTAGTCCTTATCACAATGCAGAGAAATATTACCCTAGAGGTGTGTAGTGATCCATATATTTAATACAGTAACAATAATAATGATAATATTAACAGTTTCATCCTGGACAAAATGTTCGCATGATGTACAGAATTCTCAAACTTATTTATTGCATACAATTTTATCTTAGTTCAGGATCTTTAAGTAGAATAGGAACCTCCAGTCTATCATTTTGTAACAGCAGAAGGCAGGACATGGAAGTAAATCTGTTTTTCATCGATGAAAGTACTATATATATGGTATTATGTTGCTAATGGACTACTGAACTGTGGGAACATTACTCAGACGTTAACACCAACAAATACAATGATTCTTACTGTGAGAATAATATTCCATTAGAGCACATTGTCAAGTATTGGTTTTGCAGGGATTTTTCTGTGTGATTAGTTGGAGAATTTCATCACGAGCTGACATCAGTTAGAGAATAATTGCAATACCTGGTCTTACTCTGCCCACTGGATCAGTGGCTTAATGGTCTACGAGCTTACTAACCCTGTAAGCAGAAGGTCCTGGGTTCGAACCATGGCGGTGGGTGCGTAGTTCGTAAGAGTCCCAAACTAGGCTGACAATAAGGGTTGACTGTCCAGTACTCCCAGTTGGTTTTCCAATGGTTCTCTAACCAACGTCAGCTCATGATGAAATCCTCCAACCAATGGATCACATTGAATCACACCACCACAATATGACACATTGCTTTTTGATTTGAAGCATAGACTAATAATCCCTTAAGATATCTTTTTCCTTCGTCTCTGAGATATGCCGATTAGAAATCCTTGTGAGTACATTTCTTCGACTCAAGGAATGTAATCGAATCGTTGAAACAATATGAATTAGAGAAAATATTATGATGATGCATTTTATTGTATTGTGTTGTTGTATGGGAATTCAGGTAGCTCACTGATTCAAACAGACCGCCTAGAATAATCACATACCTAAGAAAGTCTAGCTATAATGAATTGAAATATTTCTAAAATTAAGAAAACAACAGCCGAACAGTTTGCCAAAAATTTTTAAAAACAATTTCCTGTGGATTTGTAAAACCCTTATCTAACTACCCCACGCTAAGGTTCAATTTGTTCCTTTTCTAAAAGAAAACGAATAATGTATCCCCTGATTGGTTACAGGATTTCATCATGAGCTGACACATTGGTTAGAGAACCATTGGAAAACCTGGGAGTAATGGATGGCTGTTTCGTCCTAGTTTGGGACTCTCCAGCAGCACGCACCCACCCGCGTTCGAATCCAAGACCTTCAGGTTACAAGGCGAGCTCGCATACCATTAAGCCACTGGGACCCGATCCAATGGCCCATGAACTCTAGCTTCTGCCAACTCACTAGATTCCTTGATTCTTTTCATACCTTGAGTTCTTAATGGAAAGTAGGGCTTCAAATTTTGTTTTCCATGTGACAGGGTTACCATGCCCTTATACCCAAAGCTCCTTTGCTTCCCGAACTTACCATATGTAAGTAAACCAGGCAAGGCTTCAGGGTACAGCGGCTAGGAATCGAACCTGGATCTTCGCCTACTTAACTATCGATCATTATACCACTCAACCACCAGCCTAGTCAAGGCTAAGGTAATGAATGAACTTGTTATGTAATTACATCGCTTCTTATTGTGTTAGTTATTTAGTATAATCAAACAGGCATTGACTATGATCAACAAACAAAAAAAGTATAAGAAAATAAACATTCTAAAACTCACATTGATCTACACTTTCATTATTTGTACTTTCTGAGCAAATCAGTTTGTGCACATGAATAATAATAATAAACGATTGTAATAAATATGCATATATTTTTTCGAATTTCCTGCCTTAAGCCCACCCAATAACATTTCTAGGTTTATCGATTAATCGGTGAGTGATATTTTTTGAAAAACAAATAATTAAGAAGTAATCAATTATTCATTAAAATGAGCACATTATATATGAAATATCGATTAGTACATGAATATATATATATATTGATTTACACAATTATATATATAAATACACATATATAATATGGGAAATAGTTTTCTCTCTAAAGCTACCTGTCACAACAGATGTCTCGAAGTAGATCATGCAAGTATCAATAAAAATCTGAATGAATTTTTTTTGAATGTTATTTTTTGTTTTCTCTGATCAATGTTCATACATACTCTTTTGAACAGAGGAGGAGTAGGAGTAGCAGAAGGAGAAGGAGGAGGAGACGGTGGAGGAGATTCACATGAAGGTGAATATACAAAAGCAAGTTTATAAAATGTTGTCTATGATGTGTAGAAATGCCAACACTTATTGGCTTATGGTACATATATGTGTATATTTTTTGTGTATACTTTTCTTTATTCACAATATAAGATAAAATAGAAAACTCAAAATAATTCAATCTATCTATTTATTTATTGATTGATTGATCGATTGATTGATCATCGATTAATTGGTATAGGATATTTTTTACATTTAATATTTGAATTCAGATTATCCGTGATATCGATATGTCCAACTGTAGTATATGGTGCTTCCCATGTTAATATACCATTATCTAATTTAGCAATTAATTTACTTTGATCAACATTTATTGGTATTGTATGCTCGTGTAGAAATTCTCTGGCAATTTTTGTTTGCTTATAATTTTCAATATTTTTACCTTTTTGTCTTATCATAATAGTTAAAACACCATTTTTTAGGTGGATATTTAAATCTTCCGGTTTTACATCTTTACCAACTTTCATATTTTGTGTATAGAATTTTGTAGACTTAGATATGACAGTATTATTATTACTAGCAGTAGTAGTATTAGTATTGATATTAGCGTTATTAGTGTTCACAATATGACTGATAGGATGTAATGTTGTATTGATATAAGCACAATTACCTGTCTTCCCATTATACTGATGTGTAGAACTATTGATCATTGTTGGTGTATTCTCATCTGAAGAAATATTACTGACTGGATGAATGTGTAATGGACGTTGAGATGTTGAAAATGTTGAAGAATTCGACTTCTTATATTCACTCTGATGATGGTAGTAATTATGATTATGACTATTATGATTAATATTGTTATTATGATACTGTTGGGAGTGTACTGGCACTTGATAATGCCTGTTATACTGTTTTGAATACGGTGAATGATTTAATACTTCGACACGAATAGGTTGTACACTAGCAGGACTTGGTTGACCACTTTGTTGATTAGTGTCTACGCGTACAGGAATTCTTATCGATTCATGTCTTGAAAATGAATTCGCAGTGTAATGAGTCGGTGAACGTTGAGGTGGATGACGAGAACTACGATTAATCAGTGAGCTATTTTCTTTTACACGAAATGATTTGTGAATATCAGAAGTTTGTAAACTTGAAATTGAAGGATGTCGTTCTCGTGTTTCATTTGAAAATGAAGTACGTAGTCTTGGCGATTCAGAGACAGAATTACGATGTGATGAATTCGATAATTCCCAGTTAATATGCCGCTTTGTAATTGGACTTATCTGGGAAGTTTTTAATATGGAATTATCACGTTTATTTACATCAGCATCTAAGAGTAAAGTGTTTTTATTGATTAGTGTGCATTTCAAGGTGTCAAGATCAGCAGATTGAGGAAATTGAATTTCACGTTTAAATTCTTGTTTATACTTTTCACCAGTTGGTTTAATCTCTTCATAATTTAAACTGATAATAACATCTTGTGATTGTCGAACAATTTGTATACTTTCTTGAGGATAACCTTGTAAATCAACTTCAATGCAATATTTTAATTTTCCATTTATATCATGAGTATGATATTCTTTACATGGTGTAACAGAATTCAGTATATTTCCACCAGTACGATGTCCAAGAGAATTACGATTTAAAATAGGTATAGGCGGTGGACGTTGCATCACTGACATCTGGTTTCAACTCACACTCTTCTACTCTACGTGATGAAAGAGCTGTTTGCCTATATTATACCTAAATTTTTTTAACTATAAACTTCAAATCGCTTTCTGATTGGTCAATTTGATTGTACTATCCACTGGCTGGCCTTCACCACAAGGTTGCACGTGCTAAACAATTTGGACCAATCATAGAATTTTTAAGCGTAGTAGACTAGATACATGCACACACTTTTAAGCCTAGTATAACTGTTACCAAAAATCTACTTTTGCACACATTATCAATTTATAAAAAGTGGTTATATCTTGAACTTGAATTTCGTGTCAATACTCACAACAATTCATAACATTTGCATGCTTTTTATTCGTATATTTTGATGAAGACGCTTATTTCTTTGACACATTAACTGGTTGAGAGGCAATTTTCACAACAGTAACCGTTAGTTTACTCGAAAAATTAAAGGACATTGCTAAAACAAAAACAAAGACAAAAAAAATGTGAGGTTGATATAAGAATAAAACTTGTGCACTGTTGCAGAGTGTAATTCCAATATAGGTAAAATTTATTTGGGTAAAGTCTCACAGTGTTATACAGTAATATTTACTGATGACGACGTTTTGAGCACAATTTATCACTGCTTATAATCATATCAAGACACTACTCACACAACTTTCTAACTTCGTTTATATAATTCCATTATTTTTCATCGCTTGACTTGATTGGTAGTAGTATTTTCCATATATCCGGTATGAGTGATGAGTCATTCCTGTTGCATGTGTTTTGTGTAGACTCGATAAACAAGGAAGCAGTAACCAATCTCCTTCTCCACTTACCTATTTTACTCCTTAGAATTTGAACCCGCTCCCACCCTATTGTGTGGTTGTGTGTTAATCCATGCAGTGCAATCGCACTAAGAAGTAATATAGGTAGGTGGAGAGCGAGAGAGGTTGATTACTTTTTCCTTGTTCATCGAGTCTACACCCAGTACGTGCAATAGGAATGACTCATCACTCATACCGGATATATGGAAAATACTACTACCAATCAAGTCAAGCGATGAAAAATAATGGAATTATATAAACGAAGTTAGAAAGTTGTATGAGTAGTGTCTTGATATGAATATGAGTTGCAATAAATCGTGCTCGAATCTCGGCCATCAGTAGTAAATATTACTGTATAACACTGTGAGACTTTATCCAAATAAATTTTACCTATAATGGAAAAATGTGAGCATTGATTGGTCACAAGGATGTAACCAAAATCAATACATCTAATAATTAATGTTGATACTGTCTGAATTCTACCAGTCAAATTTGAGATGTAGTCAACGGCCTGGGTGACTCATTGTCGTGGTGCATTCTAAACTTACGCTAAATGTCTAGAGGCGATCGACAAGCTTGAGTGATGGAATTCAGTCATTACCGACAGAGTGGACAAGAAAACATGATACTGGTTTCCCCTGGTGACCATTTAATGTATCAGTTATGTCCCTACAAGAGGTCATTCATGAGCCCAAACAGCCTAGTGGTAATGTCTCTGACCATACCACTGCACGATGTGGACGCGAAATTAAGAGCGGTTCCAGATACGCATTACTGATATCTGGCAACAGGTACGAAACCCTGATCCAGAGTTTCTCACTAACTGCCTCAGAATAAATGCGACTACAGACGAAGTTTTTTGTGGCTTGCCGTCGTGTCGTGGTAGTGATAATATTATTTTGTTTAATGACTGTAAGTTTAGTAAGGTTAAGGTTATGCCATAGGGTGACTAATTGGCCTTGGATAGTCTGTGGGAAACATGTTTGTTCTGTTTCATGCTTGTAGGCAGAGCTTTGATCCCGCCTTGTTGGAAATATTTTTATTGATTCTCAGGTGTTTTTTGATTGTGTCCGATCAATTAATTTTGTTGTACAGTGCCGGGAAACTTTTGGACTGTATAACTGCTGGATGATAATGCTGAGGTGGTTTTGTGCTTTTGATATGCAATTATTATTGAATATTGTCACAGATTCTGTCACATCAGAGTGTGTCTTGATGCTGTTAGAACGTAATAAAGGACTGTGCGTCACTCGTGGAGATTAGGCAAGGTATACAGAAGAACGCATTGAGTGGTTCCTGTGATGAGGCTGAATTACTTGAGTTGTGGTCGTTACAACATTCGATCTTCAACTTACCACTGATTAGGTTGATCGTGTAATGCGTATAAAAGAACTGAACGATTCACCCTTAGTGAGTCTCATGTTATCGTAAAGGTGATTTGTTCATATTCAACGGTGTAACAGGCTGATCTGAAGTTTGCTGTGAAGGTAAGCTCAATGAGTGTATGTATGTGTGTGTTGAGCTCACCGAGGCTGATGAAAGATTCTGCACACCAAATTCTGCAGATAGTTTGACTTACATTACTTATGGTGGTACTGATCAGCAATAATACAGTTATGTCCCTAGAGAAGCACAGAAATAAGTCTAAATCCTATGGATGATCAGAAATATTCATAGGAGTAATCAAATGATCATCCATTACGCTTGAGTTAGACATTCAAGAAAACTGTTCACAGGTGTTCCATATGTAGTCCAGCCGCCAGCAAATTTCATCGGTGATTACCCATCCCCTACACTCGACGACTCCTCAACAGAATTTCAGTCAGTTTCATCCTGTAGTCATTCACTAGTGAGCTTTGGATTAATTTTCAAGTGTTGACTGCGAATTGGATCACGGACTGATTTAAGTTGGAGAACCATTGACAACCAACAAATAGTACTGAAGAGATGTTTCGTCCAAGTTTGAAACTCTTCAGCGCTACACACCCTTGGCTCAGTTGATCACTGAACGCAGGACACTGGAAGCATAAACTATGCATGCAAAGAAGATTTGTTTTTAACTTGAGGTTCGTGGATTTTATCTTGTTTGGGGTCACAGGTTTCAAACCAGGACGAAAAAGCAGTCCAGTATTCCATGATGGTTTTATAAAGTTCTTTAACTGAAGTCAGTCCATTATCATACCTAAAAATTAATCAACACTTTTCATAGGCTGGTAATCTATCGACTGATAACAACCAAGATAATCCTCAGATTACTTATACTGGGAACAATAAACCATCACACACAACACCATGATGAAGTTCCACGAGTGTTGCAGAATCTTTGAGTTGATCAACCCTTAGACATTGATGTAGACTATTTCCCCGTTTCTGTCGAACGACAAGAGATGTATTCCATCTACGAGTTTCACGAACGAGCAACTTGTTTGACTGCGAACATAGATCTACGCAGACAGCTATTTTGAACTATATGTTACTGACGCAGTTACTTTCGCTGGGTAAGAGTTGAAGTAAACATAATTTTTTTTCTTGTGTAGAAATACTATTCCTAAATTTTCCATTGTACTTTTATGTCATAATTCAAAAGTACTGAAATGTTTTTACTTTGATGATTATGTTGTAGATTTACAAATAGTTCCATTTAAAAAAAACTGTTAACCTTGACTTTATTTGACATTTAGCTATCGCACGTTTATATTTCATGAAAATTTTGCCCCTTCTCTCTAAATAATCTTTCGTCCAATACAATTCACCATTTCAGTTACAAACTGACCTCGGTCATGTGAAAAGGAATAGTACAAAGGCATTACAACTAATAAATCCGTTTTCAAGTGTACACTGAGATTGTCAAAAAGAAAGTGAATTAAAGCCTGGCGAGGTTACTGACAGGAACGTTCATAACATGACAACTGGTATTGTTTCGTTAGAAGTACTAAGAGGGATAGCTGACAGCTATATTGTAGTTTCCGTGGTGGTGGTGTTCATCGTCGTGATATGAAGTGATTCATAACGGAAAACTTAGTGATGTCTTTAAAGTGGAAACAGGAGCATTACAAGACTGACCACTACTATCACCGATGATATTCCCAGTTGTGGTGGATTGGATAATGCAGCTGACCATGAGAAGCGAGAAGACACAAACACGTTTGACCGACAGGAAGACTCTAGGAGATCTGAATTTCACGTGTGGATGATTTATGTTTAATGTCACACAAACTCGAAGACTAATAGGATAAAACTGACAAATTGACAGAAGAAGAAGAAGCAAGGACAGGACTCCAGGTGAACATCGAAAAGACGGAGGAAGATCAGCAACCAACAGCAACAACAATCCACACCATGAACGGGAGAAATTTGAAAGAGGTCAATTCTTTTACTTATCTGGGCTGGTAACATTGTTTCCACTACAGGCAGTCGGCATGGATGAATACATCAAAGTCTGTCAGCATCTCAAAGCTAAAACAGTTCTTTATTATTCTGGAATCAGTTTAGAAGTCTCCTGCACTCAGCGTGAATAACATTAATGTTAAGTCAGTTCATCTATACGGCTCAGGGACTCGGTGTGTCATCAAAAGCATATCCAACAGCCTACCGGAGACGTTCGAAGTTTAATTTCCTATTCTTTGAGTTTTTGATGGAACAAAGAGCCTCGAGCTTTTGAAGTGTATGGTGGGGGTTGCTGGCCAATCGTGAGACTACCCATCCATTCTGAGGCTGCGGTCTGGGTGAATCATGGCCACGTGTGTAACTAGCAAGCATCGTAGGAGGAGGAGTAGGAGATGAGAGTTTATACGCAATCATGGAGCTACTTAAAGACGATTGCATAGTACAGGATGAAATAGAGATGAGCTGCAGAAGTCTTATTTATCATATGAAACTTAAGGAAATAAGAATATTAACAATAAGACAAATAAACGAGTAAAGTAAAGAGTAATTCTTAACTCAGCTTGTTGTCTAATAAGTGTTTAAATGGAATTTTTCTTTGAACATATTCGATTTATTCAAGTTGGTGGTGACCGACAGTGGAATTCAAGAGGCATGTCTCATCCTATTTTGGGACTGATTCTTCAGTTGGATATACTTATATCCAATGACACTCGAACCCAGTAGCCACCCGACCAAATGGCACTATGTGAGACAAGGTTTGATAGCGACCTTATTATTTGTGTTTTCCTCCAAATATTGACTGGAATTGGATTTGAATCTCAACTGAAGATTTATTCAACAAAGATTATCATAGGA